CCACCAGGCCGACTGCTGGCTGCCAACTGCTCCACCAGGCCGACTGCTGGCTGCCGACTCCTCCGCCAGGCCGACTGCTGGCTGCCGACTCCTTCACCAGGCCGACTGCTGGCTGCCGACTCCTCCGCCAGGCCGACTGCCCGAAGTCAACTGCAGCCTGACAAGACACCGACGGGACGACTATACCGCGATGTCATCTACAGTGTACCGTGTCCCCTGGGTACTGATTTATAAAGTACCCCAGGGGACAAGCATGACATGCACCATGCCACTAGCCATGCCTACATAGCTTGGCTTGTAAGCTACCCAAGGTAGCTTACAACCAAAGCCACTACCACCCATGCCAACTCCTATATATATAGGCACACATCCATCCACCAGGGGATGGACTCACTCACGCACACACACAAGCAAGCTAGCTAGCAAGCCATCCACATACACGCATGAGCATACACATGCTCACGGCCATGAGCCATGAGCATGGCCGGCCACTAAAGCATGCCACATACATGCATATATGAAACCAGATGCCTGTGGCACTGCTTTCAGATACAGCTCCAGGAGCACTCTGTACTACATATATACCACATATACTCAGACATGCAGGAGTAGGGGTGTTATCTCTCCGGAGAGCCCCGAACCTGGATAAACTACCGCGTGCTATTCGCATACCTTCTCCCGGGCCTATCAGCAGCAGTCTTGCCCTCACACGAAGCCACCTTGTGGCATATGTCGTCTTGCACCCCCCGTGAGAATACCACGACAATGATGCCTCAAATTGTGCATGTTCAGTAATCTTTCAAAGTGACAGAATGATACTTTAAATTGTTCCCAAGTGTGCGGAAGTGAGTTCAGAGCCACCATTACTTGCACCTCCTCAAAAAAAGGATAGCCAGCATTTTTCAATTCCTCATTCAGCACACACAACTTGTTTAAGTGCTCATTGACAGAAGTATTATCTGCCATCTTAGACGTCAAGAATCTGTTCAGCAAGATAAGCACTTTGATTAAAGTAACTTCACCAAAATCCTCTTTCAGCCTTCTCATAATCCTGTGTGCAGCAACCTCTGTTTCATATTCACCTGCCAACGAATCGGACATGGAGCCAAGAATAAAAATCCTAGCATTTTTATTGTCCTTATTCCACTCCTTGAGTTCTTCTGCATAATTATCCTTTTCCTCATCTGAAGCGTCATCAGGAGGTTCGTTAGGCTCTGCTATTAAAATTACATACTCAATATTCTCAGCTGTAAGCAGAAACATCATCTTCCTTTTCCAAACAGTGAAGTTTGTGCCATCTAACTTGTAGTTCCTGAGCAACTCAGCAAACACGCTATTGGACGCCATCTATCCACAAAGTTCAGAACAGAAAAAATTCCTTTGGTGGTGTTGAATCGGAGCAGCAGTAGCAGATGAGAGGCCTGACAAATTCCGAGCAGTCATTGGCGAATAGCTCGTGTACCTGAGGACTCGTCGAGGTGGATGGCTTGGAGCGGTGACGGGCAGCTAGAGGAGAGCTTCCGGCGGAGTGCAGCTAGAGATCGGGCCACCGGCGGAGTTGGCGACTTTGGGGCGGTGGCTGTCGGCGAGTTCCCGGCGTAGGTGAGCGGCGGCTCCAGACGAGTGCAGCGCGGTGAGGAGAGAGCGCTGCGGGGCAAGGCGACAGTGCAGCGGCGCGAGACGGGAGCGGCGCGGCGAGGCGAGAGAATCTATTTTGGAGCGATTTGTTTGCGGCCGGGGCGTCCTTGTTAATGAAGCGCACTACAGATCAATCTAATTCCAAGTTGGACTTGTGTGGACTCCCCTGTGTACAAGTTGACCACGGTGGATCCGGCGGAGTACCCAGCGGAATTGATTCCGGATCGATTCGAGTCGACGACTACGTCGTTAACTCTAATCGGCTCGGATGCCAATGTAGGAAATATGTTGTGGTCTACCCCCTATGCCTCCGTGCTTTCCTGTGGTGCCGCTCACAATCGCGTATACGAGGCTAGGGGGTAGGGACCTTCTTATACTGCGTTTCCAAAGAGTCCGCCTCTTATATAGTTATAAGATTCCTAGTCTTTAAACTAGTTTCCGGATAGAGTCCACATCAAACTACCAACCACGATATAATTTGTCTGTTAGCGGATCCTATCTGTCGAGTCCCTGAAGCACGCGCCTGTGAGCAATGCGTCATAATAGAGTATAAATTCCTCTAATTATGTAGATCAACATTAGGGCCGTAATCCAATTACACGATCTAGCTTCTTCCAATTATCAGCGTACCCGGGTAGTCTTTCCAATATATAAAGCATATTGTATTCCACCGATAATTGACCGGCTTCCTTAAGCATGCAACACTTAAGTACATTCCCGCAAGAGTAATTCCATGCACAAAACACATGTATAATTCCATATGAGGTATTCCGAATATTAATGATAATAAGTAGTTGAATATAGTTGCAGGACACATAATCCCAACACTTATGGACGGCGGCGGCAGCCTGAACCTGCTTTATCAGGACACAGTGTGCAAAATGGGTATAGACCCCTCAAGGATCAAACCCACAAAGACGACCTTTAAGGGTGTCATTCAAGGCGTAGAGGCCCACTGCACAGGCTCAATTACACTGGAAGTGGTCTTCGGATCCCCGGATAACTTCCGAAGCGAAGAGTTAATCTTCGATATAGTCCCGTTCCGCATTGGTTATCACATGCTGCTCGGACGAACCGCATTTGCTAGATTCAATGCGGTACCACATTATGCATACCTCAAGCTCAAGATGCCAGGACCTCGCGGAGTTATTACAGTTAACTGAAACACAGAGCGCTCTCTCCGAACAGAGGAGCACACCGCGGCCCTTGCAGCAGAAGCACAAAGCATCCTCTCAAGGCAATCTACCAGTTCAGCGTTTCAAAGCCCGGACACCTTCAAGCGCGCTTGGGGCAATCGGCAAACAGACCGCCTGGCGCGATCTGAGCTCGCGTAGCAATACGGCGGCCACCCCAATCCCAGCCCAACGTCGTTGTTCGTGCCGCGCGTACATAATTACACATTAAAAATACCATGGGCACATGTGGGGAGGGGGGCACAACTACGGCACACCCCAAAACGCGGCCTAAACTGCACCAGGGGCTTACCGTTTGGTTATTTTTCTTTTTCTTTCAGGACTTCAATCTCTGGAAACACTGCCCGGCAGCTCTATTACCGAACACATGATACAGCAACCAAGGAGGCCGACAACTACAGAATTCCCAGGTGGATTACAGATTTCATATAATTCCTCAGCTCGCCCTTGGAAGGGACATAGTCCTACTCTTTTGCTTATTGCACTATCTATATCACTCTGCTTTAATGCAATTTTTTTAATGACATTACGACTATTATCGCATTTTTGTTATATATATACATATCTATGTGTTCATTAATGACGCCTAGCAACCGTACACTCTGGTACGGCCAATGCACCAGGGGCTTACGTACCCACAATATGGTGTGAAATGTCCGAACACTTTCACAAGTGCGGCACCCCGAACTTATAGCATTATATGCATTAGCTCCGAATCATGTCTTTGGTCAAATGTTGGGTTTGCCCGGCTCCTATGTTTTGGTACCTTACGTTCCGCTCTATCGGCTAAGGTAGCGCTAGGAGAACTACTGCGATTGTGCCCCGGTTCTGCCGGGCCGAGCACCTCAGTAGATAAAGCTAAAACTGACTGTCATGATAAGGCGAGAGACTGGTCACTGTTCGGCGAGGTTTTTCGAGTCCCTAAAGACTTATGCCGCTTAGGGCGAGGGGCCGGCTCCGTCCGGCTTACAGGCGTGTATCGCGCCTCGAATTCGGCCTTCCGAATACCAGGGGCTTCGCCAAAATTTAAAATTATAGAATTCTATGGCTAAGTGAGAGTGATAAAGCATTATTAGTCCGGTTGCCTTGTTTGTTGTGCTGAGCACCTCCCTCGAAGGACCCAAACATGGGAACAAGAGTGCTCAGGTTTATCCCGAACACCCCGGCACTCGTGGCATGGGGGCAGAAGTCGAGGACTAGCCATCTCTCAGATTGGATAAACAACCAAACAGAAGGTAATATTTTAAATTCACACAAGCGTTGCATAGCGAATATGATACAAGTTTTCATACATGCAGGACAAAACAAGCAAGTCTCATTCAAATATTACATTTTGCGAACACTCATCCGCGATAAGACGGGCACCCGGCAGAACACCCTCGTAGTACATCTTGGGGTGGCGGTGCTCCTTGCCCTCCGGCGGCCCCTCCTTGATCAGCTTCACAGCGTCTAGCTTGACCCACTGCGTTTTTACACGGGCGAAGGCCCGACGTGCACCTTCAATGCAGACGGATCACTTGATGACCTCTAGCCGTGGGCAGGCATCCACAAGCCACCTCACCAAGCCGAAGAAGCTGTTCGGAAGGGCGTCGCCAGGCCACAACCGGACTATGAAGCCCTTCATGGCCTGATCGGCCGCCTTATGTAGCTCGGCCATCTGCTTCAGTTGGTCGCTCATTGGCACCGGATGTTCGGCCTCAGCATACTAAGACCAGAACAACTTCTCCATCGAGCTTTCGTCCTCGGGTTGGTAGAATAGTGCGGCATCGGACACACTGCGGGGCAAATCTGCGAATGCTCCTGAAGAGCTCCGGATTCGGGTAAGTAATCGGTAATTCACCTTTACATGCTTGCTTTGCATATAGAAAGCCTTACCCGCTGCTATCTTCTTCATCACGTCGATCTCCTGAAGGGCCTTCTGGGCCTCGGCCCTGGCACTCTTCGCGCCCTCACGGGCCGCGGCAAGCTCAGACTCTCTCGTCTTCAAGTCAAGCTCCAACTCCTCGTGCTTTGTCACGAGAGCCTGGAGCTCTTGCTGCACCTCGCCCACCCGAGCCACGTGCCTCTCTCGCTCGGTGCGCTCCTGGGCCACATTTTCTTTAGCCTGGGACAACACTTGCTTTAGGGTCACCACCTCGGTCGTGGCCCCTGGCAAACATACAATGATCCTGTCATTTAGCAATCACGTCCTTTTTCTCATCTATAGACGGGGTATTACTTACCCTTGTTCTCCTCGAGCTGCCTCTTCGCAAGGCCGAGCTCTTTCTGGGACCCCTCGAGGGCCTCCTTTAGTACGGCGACCTCCGCAGTTAGTGCGGCGGACGCCAGCAGCGAAGCCTGTATATGCATATTGACATACTTATATTAGACTCTTGCGATATATTTGATCCTCTATTCAGCTTTTCTTTGTGAACACCGAACAAAGCATCAGGGGCTACTCTCTATGCGGTAATACTTCTACTACATTTTAAAACACTTACCTCGAAGCCTGTTAGAAGACTAGTACAGGCTTCAGTCAATCCGCTCTTGGCGGACTGAACCTTCTGGATCACTGCACTCATGATAGTGCGGTGCTCCTCCTCGATGGAAGCGCTACAAAGCACTTCCAACATAGTGTCCGGTGCCTCTGGATGGACAGAGGTCACTAGCATAGGCGTCTCACCCCTCTTAGAAGGAGACAGCCTGCCCAAGCCCGGAACTGGTTCCGGCGCGGTGTTCAGCTGAGGGCCGAACCCGGAGCTCTCAGGGGCCAGGTCCCCTCTGCCCCCGGAGTCTGGAAGGTCGCCTTGAGGCACCTCCGGGACTGTCTTCCCTCGATTTGGTGCCTCTTGAGACAACACCTCGGTGTCATTGGCAGGATGAGGGGAGGTGGCAGTCGGGACTGGATCGCTATCCATGTCCGACGAACCCAGGGAGCCGTCCGATGATACCTCGATGTTGGCTCATGGCGGCCTGCGTAATTATGTGTGGCGATTAGGGAAAGCAATGCGGCAAAGGAATCCTATGGGTTACTTTGGTATCCGAATACTTACGATCTCCCCTGGGGCTTGGCCCTGGGCAGCCACTCGTCTTCACTTTCGTCAGCGGCGGTGGAGCTGTCCGAAAGGAGAGTCCTTCCCTTCTTGGACCCTTCGGCCTCCCCAGTTGGGGCGGCCTTCCTTTTCCTGTCTCCCCCAGTCGATGGGGGAGCCTCTTCTTCCTCTTCCTCGTCTTCGGGGGAAGAGTGCGCCGCAGAGTCATCGGACGGTGAGTCCGACGATGCCTGGCATCGAGAACTCTTTCGAGCTCCCTTGGCCTTCTTGGTCTTCTCCGGCACCTTATAAGGGGCCGGAGTCAACATCTTCGCCAGAAGGGCGTCCGCAGGGCCTTCGGGCAAGGGAGCCGGACAGTCGATTTGTCCAGCCATCTTCTGCTAGTCCTGTTAACGGCACGGGAGTTTAGATCCCGCATAGAATCAATCTATATAGAAAACAAGTATCACGTGAAAGGTAAAACAACTTACCGCACTAGCGTGGC